AAAAAAAAAAAAAAAAAAATCACTAAATTGCCTAAGCTGGACTCAAACTGGTGATCATCCTACCTCTATAGAGTTAGAGTGCTGGGATTATAGGCATGTGCCACTACACCTGCCTAGATATATAGATTTTTGGGGGGAGGGGCAAATATTTTTGTGTTGTAGATGATAGTCATTAATGAAATTATTAATTGCTGAGTACTATGCAATGGCCCCTTTAGTACCTGTATATGATCGCTTAATTTTGAAAAATAAGGTCTTGAGTTGTTACCAGCTCTGCTCCAAAGCTTAAGGGTAATCTCTTGCCTGAGATGACTTAGTAGTGATGCTCTGTATTCAGATCCAAGTGTACATTAATATACTCTGCTCCCTCATTTTCAATTCCTATTGTGTAAGGCACTGTGACTTACATTAGCATAGCTCCTGTTTACAAATAAGAGATTTAGGTGCAGGTCCATGCCCAGAGTCACACAATTAGGACAGATGTATAGAGTAAGTCACTCCCATCACAGCTGAAAGACTGGCAAACAACTCAGCCTAAGCCTAGCACTGTCAAAGTGACACACAGTTGTTAAACATACCTCTTTAGAACCAAAAACTGAAGCGGTATTCATTATGAAAAGAAGTCCACTATATTAATGCACAGGGAATAATAGTTTCACATATTTATTAGATACTCCTTTTTGTTTAGTACTGGGGGTCAAACTTGGGACCTTACACTTGCAAGGCAGGTGGTGGAACCACTGAGCTAAATCCCCGGCCCAATATTCCATATTTTGTATGCATCTTAATGCCCTTAAATTGGCAGAAAAATGCCTCTTAAAATGTGGCTACATATTTGATTGCTTTCCTGTTATATGACTTTCTGTGGCTCCCCTGTAAATGATGACCTTTTTAATCACAGAGACTTGGATTACTGATGGAAAAGTAAATATCAATGTTTACTTCATTGAGGAATTTGCATTTTAAAGATAGAGAAACATAGGTGTCATTTTTCTGGCCCAACTTTAAGTCATCAGGTGTTTTAGTCCAATCTTAAAGATCCATTTACCTCCCTCCAGCAGTGTTCTCTTAATATGAGGACTGGGCTTGGGGCCCGGAGATGTAGCTCAGTGGCACCGTCCCTGCCTCACAAGTACAAGGTCCTGAGTTCAATCCCTGGCACCAAAAAAAAAAAAAAAAAAGCCTATGGAATGAGCTGGCTCTGAGGGGCAGCTCTGCCACTTAACCTTTACGTATCTTGAGCAGGTCACAGCATTCTTGCTGTGTACTTCTCTAAAATGGAGATACTTTGAAGATCAGTGATTATAAGCCAGAGGGAACACACATTAAAAGTTAATTCCCTTTTCCTTTGGAGTGAGAAACTGGAATTGTGCATACCAAATCTGACCCTTTTACCGTAGTTGAAATGGGATTTGAACATGCTGCAGAATTGTTTCAAGGTTTATGTGGTATATACAAAACAGTCACATCCCCTGATACTTGACATTCAACACCATTCTTCCTCTGACTGGAGCGTATTTATGGTTGGTATAAGACTGAGAATAAAGTTCACTATTCATTGCATGTAGAGAGCTTCCCTTTGGTAGACCTAAGGTAGGAGATGACTTACATCTCAATCCCTCTAGCCAGGCTTACTGATCTCTTACCCTAAAGATCCCTGTTGTTTGCGTGTTGTGACCTATCGTTAACCACCCTAACTCCAAACAGAACTGCAAGACATCTCAGCTTCACAGATTGCCCTAGTTTCTACAGTTCTACACCCAATAGTCTCTAGCAGTTCTCCAGAATATTAGTTGGGAGTCTAGAAACAGGGTTAAGACGATACCAAAAAAATACTACTTAAATCACGAAAGGGTTTCTATCATTCAATTTAACTGTTGCCTCTTACTACTTTCTCAACCAGCTCTTTCTGCATTTCCTTGTTAAATATGGCTAAGAGCCAGTAAAATAAGCCCTGTCTACTGAACAACATTGTGGAAAGGAATTGGTCAAGAAACTTATTTTGGGGGGTTGGGGAACATACCAAATCACCATGGAGAGTTTTGCGCCGTGATTTTCCTCGTGAGTGATGGTGAGCCCTTTTAGAGCTTTCAGCAATACAAGCAGCCTACTGTGCACGCGTGCCATAGGTTAACCCCACTGTCCTGGTGTCTCTTACTGCTCATAGTAAGCAGATCATAGACTCAGTTGTTTTACTTTCTTTATGCTTTCATTAGTACGTATTTGCAGAAGAGTTGGAGGAAGAATACCAGAGACGGGTCAAGGCTAGAGTTTCCATTTTACTTTTTATTGAAATAAGGCATATGTGTGTTAGGGCTTGTGTGTAGATGTCTCCTCCAAGTCCCTGCAGTCGGGTGGGGATTTTTCAGAGGTGGCTGGATCTAGAGTGATTACGGGTGGGTGATTACTAAGTGAGTCCACCGGTTGGCGTGGCACTGCCCAAATCCCTGTGGCCTGGATATGAGGAACGGGAAGAGGCTTGTCTTGCCCCTTGCTTAGCTACCTTCTGCCAGCCATGACCTGCTTCTCCGCTGCAAAGCCTGTCTGCCATGCTACACTGCCTTGGAGCCAGCTGACTATGGACTGGAACCTCTACAAAGTGAGCCAAATAAACCTGTTCCTCCCTTAACTTCGTGCATCAGGTATTTTGTCTGAGCAGTGAGGAGAGTAAGGCAGCATGTCATGTGTGAATAAGAATGTGCATGTATCTCAATTTTTATGAACTAGCATTGCTTTAACAAGCACAAAACTCCAAAGTACAGACCATGGCCACTGGTCCCCTCTTACTTCGTCACTACTCCCCCAAAGAAAACCACTATCCTTTCTTACTTTGTGTTTTAAATTCAGCTACAGCAAGATTTCCTCTGGTATCGTTCTGAGTTCAGACACGTGTAGTCACATGAGCCCCACCATAACGT